TGACTATGTCATTCAGCCTCAGACATCTTCTAAATTCTTCCCAATCAGAAGTTACAGCAGAATTACAAAAGATAATCGTCAAAGTGAGGTTACATTTGTATCATTGATGCAATATGAACATGTGCAATTAGAACATTACAAATGGCAACAGACAGAAAAGAAAACACTCACCATGCATCCTCACACGAGCCCTGGATACAGGGGCCATGCTTTCACACCACGGACCAATCCAGCTGTCAGGCATCCTCAGATTTATTTGTTACTTTTTGTCTAGCTGCAGCGAGGTTAGTTAGAAGGAAGGACAAGAGAGGTATATGAAGATCTTTTCGGAAAATGTATAGCACTTCAGCATTATTTTGGATACAGTCAAGATGATATCACAAACATATTTGCTGTTTAAAATATGCCCAACCAGTATTGCATCCTCTTTGCAATATTGATCAATTTCCTTGCACATCACAGATGTCACAGGGCAATACTCAAAGATTCAATATATAAAGCTGCAAGAGTGGAATCTGTTATCCCACTGCTGAAGAAGTTTAAAGCTTTATTGGCCTGTTCTAATGGGTTCTTAGTGTAGCTGGGAAAACTATGACATATAGATATTGCTGCTGAACCAGATCCTCTGTAATTGTAAGTGGATTATCCGGCCCATTTCCAGTGGCTGCGGTTGTTGCCTCTTAGTAGCAGGCTTCTAGTTTTATGGCCTTGTATTTCCATGGCTGGATTAGAGGGGGGAGCTGAAGTTGTAGTTTGCACTCGCTGGTCCTGGCCAGTGCTGCAGGACTGACGGCCCTTTTAAAGCAATTTATTAAGGGATAAATTAAACGGTAAAGGGCCAAGTTAAAGGGCATTAAATGGGTCAGATGTTTAACTGTGGCTGGATCAGCTGTGTGATCGCTGAGGTTCGGAGTTATGAGGGGGGGAAACGGTGTAAGGTTTGAAATGATGCCAGGTGTCTCGACACAATCTAAAAGACCAAGCACAGTTGGCAGCATGTGCGACAATTTTTTTCCTAAAGAGGCAGGGAGCAGAGCTTTAAGGAGGATTCTGATTCAATTATCGCCATGATCTGCTCAATTACAAAGTTGTCTTGCATGGAAATATGTCTTGGGGTTTGAGTGTAATTTTCTTTTCCAAGCTGAATTCCTGCACAGTTGTGTTTCGAGGAGTCAGAGGCTCATCATTGGACTTTTTCCCCTTAGTCTTCGGGGGATAAAAAAGTTCAAATGAAAGGCTTTTTTAGAGACGGTATCATTATGTCTTCAACAGAAAGGGTCTTTACTGCTCCAGAAAATCGTCTCACCACTGCAGAGGAGACAAATGTTACCGTACTTATTGACCCCAACTCAGCTTTTTATGAATGATTTTGTATGTGTTTGCTTCTATATGCCAGGGAGCTTTTGTGTTAGTGTTTTGCATCCAGTTTTTGGGGGCCCTTTGTAAGTTGGCCTTGATTTGTGATTGACCTGCCAGTTTCATGAGCTCAAAGATGAGGTGTCAAATCAGTAAACTCTGACCTGAGAAAACAGCCGAGATGTGTGAAAGATAGAGGAAGCCAGTAAGCAGACGCATGCAGTGTATTACAGATGTTATCTTTCTGTATAGTAAGTTATTTTTGCCAGTAAGCCTGTTGAATATGTTGTTAATGTCCATTTGATTAGCGGAATAAGGGAAGAAAAGCAGAGACAGATGTTTTAGTGAACAGGAAAGTGTTTGAGCTCCTGATCATCCTCTTGACTTCAGACACAGCTTGTTCTAAAAATCTGCCTCTGTTTGTATTTTTCCATGTTACTCAGCAACTTCTAAAACACAACATCGCCTCCCATATTCTGGTTCATATGTTGGAAATGTTTCTTTATTGGAGGAACAAGCTTGTCCTTAAGTTTTGTTATTTTTATCACTTGGCTCATAAACTTTTCAAAGTTGGGAATCCAGCCGTTCCTGCCAAGCTTTTGCAAGACAGTGATAAAAGTGGGTTGAATAGCGATCAAATCAGCTTCCACAAATAGACCCCATGATTACTTACTCTACTTTGTGCGCCATTGTTAATGATTCTTAGATCAAGTATTAAGCAGCATACAACCCCACATTTTAATTCACGTTATAACTGCATGAATCAATTAGCAAATAATATATTCTCTTCTTTTCTTTCCAGCAACAACACACTGTGGGGTTCTCTGGAGGAGCCAAACATTGTCAGCACTAATGAGTTTGAGGAACTTTTCTCCAAAGCAACACAACAGCCCAAGAAGAAGCCCCTTTCAGACACCTATGAGAAAAAGGCCAAAACCAAAAAGGTAAAGTCACCTTAGGTATTTTTTTCTCTCACTTTGTCATTAATTGGGTATCTGAGGCACCTCAGGGCCCTGTATTCAGATTTTTATTTTTTTTATCACACTCTTTAAAAAAGTATGCTTGTCTCCTGGGATCCTCAAGTGTGAATCAAAGGACAAAAGGTGAAATGTGAAGGTGTAAATTGCAAATCTCATTAGATCTTCTCTGCAGATAACAGTGGCTATGTCTTGCATTGTGGGCTAACAGGCTATAAGTTCATAAGTTCACTCCCTTTAATGCAAGCCAGCATTGTGATGAAGGTGTGGATTCTAAATAATGCTTTTTTAGAATCCAAATTTTTTTATTTTATTTGTGCAAGCCTCAAAGTTAAATTTTAAAGGAAAGATCAACAAAGATGGGCTTCTTTGCCAAATTGATCTACCCCCAAAGACACACTTGTTGGTGTCTTGGTGTCTTGTCAAGTGCTGCAATTCTGCACCTCTGCCTCAGCCTGCGTCAGCATCCTGGCTGCCTCGTGGTGCTCACTGTGGCGTCCAAGCAATTAAAAATCGGCCGCTGCCTGAGACTGTCCCTTCTAAATCCATACAGCTCCCCTATTCTGATCAATTGGTTAAGGCTCCACTCCACTCCAGAGGCACACAGTGTGTGTGTGTGTGTGTGTGTGTGTGTGTGTGTGTGTGTGTGTGTGTGTGTGTGTGTGTGTGTGTGTGTGTGTGTGTGTGTGTGTGTGTGTGTGTGTGTGTGTGTGTGTGCGCGCGCGCGCCTGTGTGTGTGTGTGTGAGCTCCATCCTTAGATCTCTCTATTCAGTCTGGTCACTTGAAAGCAGCAAAGCGTCCAATATTTGATCCAACTCAGACGGACACATCCAGACACTAATCCTTCCAACTGTCTCCTGTCTTTGCTTACGTCAGCATGGAAGATATACTGATGGAAAAAAAGCTGAAACAACTTCATACCAGAGGAGGGAAAAAAAGCTCTTGCGTCAATTTAGGTGTTTTTCAAGCATTGAAAACTATATAAAGACATGTATTCTCCAGCACTTTACTGTACTCATAACAATAAGAAAGTCTGTGTTTAGAGGCAGGAAGAGCATTCACAATCCATCCAAAAGTATGATTGTTTTCTGCTCCTTTGGAAGTCCCACTGCCTGGAAAGGTTGTCAAAATATAATAATTATGTTTACCTAATCCTTTTTTATTCCTGGAAGTTTATACTGTGAGTTAAAGAGGGGAGAAAACATTTAGGAGAGAAATCATCTGAATCACTAGATGATGATCGCTTCCAAGAAGTTCAGCTGGTGAAAAGGCTGGGAATAATAAAAGCAAAAAGACAAATACAAGAAACAGATTTCTTTGAGAGGTTTTGAGGAAGGGATCAGAGCTGGGAGGAAAACTAGACGAGACTTATTAGGTAGGAAGGGATCATGAAGATGTACTATCTATGGGGGGGGGGTGCAGGTGTGGAGTGGAGAGGCTGTGTAGGGGATCGGTGGGGCAGTGATTAGCACTTTTGCCTCACAGCTGGGAGGTTCTAGGTTCAGATCCCCGTCGGACAGGGCCTCTCTGTGTGGAGTTTGCATGTTCTGTGCATGCGTGGGTTCTCTCCAGGTTCTCGTTAGGTTAATTGGTGACTCTTTAATTGCCCGTAGGTGTAAATGTGAGTGTGCCCAGTCGTCTGTCTCTATCTGTCAGCCCTGTGATTGAGTGGCGAACAGTCCAGGGTTCAGTGCTTGCTCAAGGCCACTTTGGGAGCAAAACTGGCACCTCTCCAGCAACCAGTCCCAAATTCCAAGCGTGATCCGAACCGCGACTTGAATCGGCAACCTTCCAGTCCACAACCCATGAAAGTCCTTACAGACTTATCGTCAATTCACCGTTTTTAAGCAGTCCTTATGTTACTCTTAAGACGTTTGATCAATCTATTCCTGTGGCCTCTACATGGCCACTTAATCTGCAGAATCTGACCCCTCAGTGGTCCCTGTACCACCTTGTGACTCACAAGACAAGTGGACTCTCGTGCAAATTGCAGACAACCTGTCTCTTGTTTCTGACAGAGCAGGGTTCTGCAATAAAGATGCCATTCAATCTGTTTATGCGTCTGTGTGACAGAAGTGGGTTTCATTTGTCTGTTTACTTTGCCGCATGTTTTGTGTATGTGCGTCTGTGTATCCTGAATGCATGTGTGTGTGATGACGGCATGTCCTCCTAAGTCATTATGCACTTGCTCAAAAAGTGTTGCCAGATCATGCTAACAACACAGCCCAGGGGAGCAAGGGGTGGTGGTGGCTTCTCTGTGTGGGGAGAGGAGATGAGTCTGAGGGAAAGGAATGTGTGTGTACATTATGCATATGAGCCACTTTCCAACTACTACACACGCCAAAAGTTGAAACTCTGGGGATGCAACAATGCCTACATGAGTGGGCTAATCTCTATCATGTGTACCATAGAAAAATCAAAGCTCTTGTTTACACTGGAGCCTTTTCTCTGTGTGGATTAGCATATCAAAGAAGAGAAGATGACATTGAAGAGAGCAGACCGGACTGGACTGTACCAGGGGGGTAATTGCAGGCATGTGGCTCCACTCCAGTCCGCTGGATGGAGGAAGCAATGATGACGGAGCACCCATAGGAGTGAGCAGGAGCGATTGGAGACAGTGTGCATGTCCGTGCATTCTTTATTGACAGATTAGAGGCGAGGAAGAGACGGCTGAGGATGAAGAAATCAATGCAGCCGAAAGTATAAATATGCACATCGGTAAACACAAAAATGGCAATTTCTTCTTTCCACATAAATCAAATGTGAATCAGGTTTACACATTGCAGATCTCCTTAAACAAACAGCTGCTTTTATCGGTTTATGGGAATAACTCGTGAGCAATCACAAAGCGTTTATTAAAGACATATTTGGCGCTCTAGCTCTGACGTCGGAGAGTGGGTGTAAGAATAACACGGCTGGGTGAGACTGGGGTTGATGGGTGTTAAGTGGGTGATTAATGATGAAAAGTCTTGATTCAGTTTTTTTTTTTTGTTTTTTTTTTCAAATCTGGCTGGAGGATTCCAGGCAGATGGTAAGACAGACAGTGGCTGTAGAGCAGGCTGGCTGCCCTGCCGGCTGATGGTGTAAACTATCAAAACCTGAAGTTGCCTTGCCCTACTCGCCGAACATCAACCACCTGCTTCAGCTCACATTGTCTCCCTCCATCATTCTGTTTATTTTTCTTTGGCGGCTCACTTCACTCTTTTTCTCCTCCTCCCTCTTTTAAGCATTCCAAACGCCTTGCTGTACATTTAATTCCATTTTGTCCACTAGAGGGAGTTGTAGCTATTGATGCCCAACTGTCTCAGCATCAGCATCTAACCCAAGCTGTTTGCTACCCAGCCTCCAGCATCAGTTGTCTTCTCTCATTAATGTAACTATTTAAGCTAATTGTAAGCAGGGAAAGGGTTCCTGGGCTGCTTTTAGAGTGGCCCGTTCAAAATGGTTAATTAGAGGTGTTGGGGAACGCCTGCTACACAACTCCTTTAGAGAGGGAGATCCCCAGCGATCCAGGTAATAGAGCTGGAAGCAGCATGGCACCCACTAACGCCCTGTAATGCAATACCCACTTCTAAGGCTTCTGCTCTCCAGCTCCCACTGGACAGCCGAGTAGCCGACAACGCCATAATACCTAATGAAGAAGCCTGACACATTAACTTTTAGAGCGGGGCTTTACCTTGCCAAAACTCTCTCTGGCTTTATGGCTAATTCAGTCATAAGTAATTGTGACCATGTGTAGGTACAAATAAAAATCCTGTGAATTTATAGTTTGTTATAAAAAAAGCCCTGCTTCTCTTTGCCTTGCTCTTCTAGACTGTCCTTTTATGGTGCCACTTTTGCCTTTGTACTTTCACTACGACTTGATATTTTTGATTATATCACACACGTGTTCTTAGTAAACCAGAGGTGTACCCTCTCTAACTTGACTTTGCTCCCTTATAGAAACAAATTAGACAAAGTGTGTTTCTCTATCTTCTTGGATTATGTTGAGGGGTTGTGACAACTTGTGTTGATGAACTGGGTCAATCCCTGCTACGTAGACTGCTACATAGAGTAACAGGGGCTCCAGGCGGTTCATCTCTTACACAGCAAGAAGTTTTACCTGGCCTCTCATCATCTCATCACAGAAATGTATTTTTTATTCACCATTTTCCTTAACTCGTTTAGTGTCATTGATTAAAAAACAGAATTGATAATAACTCAAAATATGAAAAGTCAAGGTAAACTGTGGAGCATAATGAAAGCCTTTAACAGACATGAACCTGTACATTTTATGGTCTTTATTTTTCGGTGATAACATTTAAAACTGTTTTCTCAAGATCTCATTTATCTTGTTATTTAAAGATAACAATGCTGGTTTTCCCCTCATAATGAGTTGATTTCAGTTGTTTTCTCAAGATCTCAACTTATTTTTCTACTTATTCAGAGATAACAAATCTGGTCTTTCCTTTATAATGGATCAAAATATCTCATTATCGTTCTATAAAACAAAAACAGTTATCTGGACACTGTGATAGGCAAGAAACCGGACATGTCATGCTGCTGTTACACACACTAAAGATGTAAGTTAAGACTAATTCTGTTTGTTTTGTGCTTTTGCAACTCTGGTAATACAAGATCAGTAAGTCGAGACCTTGACGAAAACAACCAGAAATGATTTGTTGCTTGAGTAAATGAAATGTATGGATGTATGTACACGTAGGGTTTCTGTAGATCAAACATACAGAACGTGTCTATGTTTGCGAAATGATTAAGAATAATTTAAGTCGACATTTGAACCAAAAATTCCCCAAATTAGGTCAATGTGTTGATGAAGTTCTAATAGTCTAATAAGGTGTCATACTCAGATTAACACAATAATGTATATTAGTATAAATTAATTTAAGATGGGGCAATAACTCTAATTAAATACATATTATGTAGCTCCCACTAATCCTACTAAATATTCATCTTCTGATATAAGAACGTATTTGTTTTCTGTGTTATTCAGTTAATCAAGCTGCTGGATGGGAAGCGTTCCCAAGCTGTCGGCATCCTGATATCCAGCCTGCATCTTGAGTTGAAGGACATTCAGCAAGGTAAAAAAAAAGTTTTTTCATTGACGATATGTTATCTTGTGTTTTTGAAAGCTGTGATATTATTTAAATCTCTGTCAAGGAAGGAGCTCATATTCATATTACAGACCGAATGTACACTCCCATTTGGCAAGAATTTGTGAGTGACTTCTGACGAAATGCAGATGGAGTTCTTTTTAGAAGATGAGATGATGCGATAATGAGCCCTGCAGCTGAGAATAATGTCCTTACTCTTGACAGCTTATAATTTGTAACAAGACACACTATTTTTTTCATTTGTGTCTCAAGTGGAAAAGTGGATTATTTTCCATCACTGTGGTGGGAAAGAAAATATCTTGAATTGTCTGATAATGAGAGTTCAACACTGGGATGAAAGCAGCCTCTCAGTTTTTCTGTCACATGAAGAAAGAAGAAGATAAACTTTATTCATCCCTGGGCTGAAAATCAGTTTTTACCTTTGTTATTGAACAAGCTGCACACATATAGGTCAGGTATACACTAATGCACAAACATTATCCTATGGACATGAACTTATGAAGAGATGTCAGAGTGAGGGGGGTGCACACAAAAGAGCGCACCCCCGAGCAGTTGAGGGTTTGGTGCCTTGCTTAAGAGCACATTGGCAGTGCTCGGGAAGTGCACTAGAGCGATTTCCATACTTCCTTCCAAGTCCCAACAGACTGAGCTACTGCTGCCCTTGCCCAAAAATCCTTTTTGTGCCTCTAAAAATACAATAAATTGCAATCTCCTTTATTTGAAGAGCCACATAAATTGATTACATGCTTGCTTGTTCTGTGGAAAATCCAGCCACATTGTGTATGTAAACACGTAATGTGTGTGTTGGGGACAGAGTAGATAGGCCAGGAATTGGTCCTGTGCTGGGACTGTGGCGGAGAGTTCCTGCCGCCTGCTAGTCTGAGCATGCGGCCAGCAGATCTGTTTATTGTAGCCAGTGACGGTTTCCACAAGCCTAATGGGACTGACACCCCACTAATGATCTGAGCATGTACAAAACCACCTTCCACAGTTAGCAGACACTGCACTGCCACATAAAACCGCCTAATGCACAAGCCACAGCACAAAGCACCAGTTTTTATTTTTTTTCCTTTTAATTCATTTTCTCTCTGTTCCAGTGTGAGCTTGTAGAGCAGGTTTGGTTAAAAAGGCCAGCTTACTCTCAGTGTGAGGTTGCCTCCTCGTGCCTTAATGGGAAGTGAAATTGACAATTTGAATCTGACAATGAAGGACAGCACCTTAATAAGCACTTCTAAGGGCTCTGGTCCCTGGCCTCGCCTGCTTGCCTCCCCTTTGTTGCCAAATTAAAAGGACATGGGACATGTAATGTAATTAGAGCTACTAGGGAGGGAAGGAGGGGAGCAGAGAAGGTAGCACTCTAGTTAAGGCAGAGGGGGGGATAAAATGCACCCGAAGGAGTGACTGGGGGACCTCAAGGGCCACCATGGTTCAAGGGCAAAGGGAGGCTCTCCCCCACACACCAACTACAAACACACACACATATGAGCTTGTTCACACACCACACATGCCCTTCCACACTAAAGCCGATGAGTGAAAAGTGTAAGGAGAGGGTGTGAGGCGGTTGGCAGGCCTGCTTTGATCTGTTGGTGTGGAGAGATATCCGGCTCCCCTCGGATCAGAGTGCTCTTGTGCACACTGGAGCAGGCCCCCCTTTGGTGTGTGATTGACGGCTGCATGGCTGAGGGACTGAATAATCCACTCTAATAAGATGTAGGAAATGGACCTCCAGCGATCTCTCTGATCCAGACATCAGGACCACATTGACAGCTTCTCTGCAACGGGAACAGCTGGGAAACAGAGTGCAAAGTATTAACTTGTTAGCTAGGAGCAGTTAGTGATTGAAGACTTGGGCTGTGTTTTTTAGACTGTTAATTTTACCTTTGCCAGCAATTCATGACACATGGTACTGGTACCGCTATGCCACATTTCTCTAAATATTTTATTCTACCTGAAGCAATTCTAAAAATAAAAAAATAATGCCTCAGTGTTAAAAGCAGCCTAACATACATGAATTGATCCAAATAAATGTTGTATAAAATAAATAAGTATGAATTGAATGAACAGATTATGACGATAGCTGTTCCTTAGCAAAACCTTATATCAAAATTCGGCACGTTTGGCAATGAAGTAATGTCATTTTATCTAAATTAAGCAACTTGAAATAGATTTAACAGTATGTTTAACATCATTGAAGTTGGTTTGTGACTTTTTTCTGCTTGTCTAACAGCTGAACTAAATGTTACTGATTGCATTTATCGCATAGTTGTCATTTATGGCCATCATGCTGTCATTCAGCAAAAGTTGTGCTTTCATGTTTGTATGCTGGTAGCTAATGTGTTAATGGCCAGACTTAGCAAACCTTGCTATAATTTGTAGTTTTTAAAATGCTATGGAAGGTGGTTTGAGACTTTTCTCATTGGCTTCTGTTGTTGCTGTAACCGTTGAAGCTGTAGTGTGGCATGTTGCCAAATTCCCCTTTAAAATCTGTATACTAGGGGGCTGTTTTTATGTTTGCTAGTGTCTACTTTTGAACTTTCTTAGATATTTTTTCTTTATGTGTGCATGTTACTTCTTAGTCTTAAGCTTAGCTCTTGTGCTAGTAAGTAAGTGCAACTTTTGGCTGTAAGAAACTGCTGTATAGAGAACGTTAACCAGTTTTAATTTAAATTGTTTATGTTAGGAAGCTAATGGTTACTTAGACTGGATTTTTCAGTGCCTTTTACTTCTTCCTTTGTTACACTACAGTATAGCATTTATTGTAATCACATAAATATCACCTGGGGTCATATCTGGGACCTTTCCAGTTTTGATTTAATGTTAACGTGTAAGGCGGCTAGGTAGAGCTATTGCAAGTTACAAGGTTTAGCGTTGTGTGTAATATTGCTTAAGTTACCTTTTCCCCCTTCTGCTACTGTAAAGCTACATTTTATCATTACCAGTCATTTTGAAATTGCAACTTGTGACTGAGGTGGCTGGCATTTGGAAAAAGTTACCCAACATAGCTTGAATACTTTAATTTCAGGAAGCGACATGATTTCAGTGATGTAGTGTTGCCAAATGAAAGCAACCCTCACGTTTTTTAAGGTGTGTAACATTCAAAAGGATGTCAGTTTGTGACTGTTTTAATTTTGTACTACATTTTTAATACACTACAGTGTTCAATATTGGGTGGTTTCATAATTTTCACTTGTGACCACAGTGACTGTTTTTCAAAAGTTGTAGAGTTGGCCTTGAAGTATTTGCTGCTAATTGTTAGTTCTGGACAGTTTTTGGTACTTGAAGCTGAAATCGAAACAGAAAGTGTACTGCTTGGTATTGGTGACAATTTTTTATTTTATTTTCATCACATTGAGTCAATGATTGTAGAACAATAAATGATGTGTGCATACTTTCTGTGGTTGTCTGCACCAACCAGACAACTGTCAGCTTATCGAGCATTCTGGAGCCTTCCCTCCCATCTTTTCCTCTTCCCCTCCTCCTACACAGAAGCCATAAACTTGTGACACCTCTCAGACACAGAACAGGAGTCACTTTCTTTCTATGCCGTCCCCTACACTTCTGCCCTCCCTTTGCACTTTTAGATTTACTCTGTTAGTCTTGTTAAACTTGTAGACGAAAAAGTTCAAGAAAACCTTATTCCAATTTCCCCACCACTTTTATTCATCTACATCTTTATCTTGTGCATCATTCTAAAAATCATTATTAGCAGCTGTAGTGATTCTAGTTGAGGGCCTAGGATTTTTGGACTCTCAGACTGCCCTGTATTAAAAACAGATCCGATTATGTGGCGGACATCACTGCATGGGATCAGAAACACTTCCAAAAAAAACATTGTCAGTGAACACAGTTCATTGCTGCATTCACAAATGCCTGTTGTAACTCTACCATGTATCGTTGAAACTGTAAACCAGATCCAGAAAGGCTGCTGCCTTCTCTGGGTCTATAATTGCCATATGTCCAAAAATGGGTATATTGAAGAAGCATAGAGACACAAGGAAACATTGCTCTTTTTTCCTGGTTTTGTCGTAGGTTTTAACAATAAATAATGTTCCATAATCTCGTTTGCCATATAACCCCATATGATACATCATATAACCCTATCCCTATGACATATGGTAGGTCCAATCTGTAAGATATCTACTACATTAAATCATAAATTTGACCTTACTATATCATCAGACATTAAAGAAACATTGAAGTGCAGCTCTCTCCAATGTTTTGAATTTGGACTGCAGTACCCATTCTAAACACTAGGTGACAGAGTTACATGGTGCTCCTTTACGTTGGACAAAATTAAAGGCAGAATGCTTTGGCCAAGATCTCGTGCATTTATTAAACTGAATACTTCTAATGAATTTCTTTACCATTGCAGCCGTTCTCACTTTGGACAACTCCGTGGTGGACTTGGAAACCATTGAGGCTTTGTATGAAAATGTAAGTTGAAGAAGCTCTCAAGGAGACAGAAATGATATAATGTTAATGTCTGAAAAATATGACTACAAATAACTTTAACTATTGTACGTTGGTACACATCATTTTTGTTATTGAGCAGCATCCTTCACTTGAACATATACCGTCTGATTATATTCAGTTGCATTAATGAACTTCTATCTTCTTTTTTTGTTTATGTTCTGTCTTTTCTAGAGGGCCACCAGTGATGAGTTGGCCAAGATAACAAAACATTATGAAAGCGCCAAAGAAGAAGACGTCAAACTGCTGGACAAACCTGAACAGTGAGTTTTATACGACAACATTTTCTCATACACATTAAAAAATCATGAAAAACGTATTACTGATATACTTAGTTTTACTCTGAACTTGGAAAAGCCGCTTTTAACTTTTTTGCTCCAAAAATGTGGAATATTTTACGACACTGTCAAGATTGACACTCTTGTTTCTCTTGGACATATTAAGACCATGATCACAAATCACTTTACCACAGTGGGTGATTGGTTCTACTGAGAATCATCCTGACCTGTCTTTTTTGTTTTATTTGTGCCCTTTTTGTTTGTTACCATTAATAAAGCTAAATTAAATTGGTTGACAGGGGTTTATGTGATGTCACAACCAGTCAGTAAATTTAAAACAATGTGAAATAAAACCAGATTAATTAATTTTTTTGTTTACTTTGACTTAATTTATGACCCATTTATGTTTTATTTATGACCTAAAAATGTTACTTTTTTCTTATTATTATTGTCGATATTAATCACACCGTAAAACAAAAAATAGAAAATATGGCCAACATTTGCACATTACGGTGTCTCTCTGATCCCTCAAAGTCTTTATTTTTCATAGCGTAATCCACCAATCTCGGACATAAATTGTATTCATGGGCATTGTTTCAGTAGTTCCTGTCAGGGTTAAGTAGTCCAGGCCAGTTAACGAGGCCCGGACCCAGTGGTGCCGCTCAGCCTGGCCTTCCTGTTTCCATGTTTGACCAGAGCTGTCACTACGGCTGCCAGAGTTATCCCTACTCAGTGTCTCCTTCCATCAGAAGGGCCTAATCACACAGGATGTTACTGCTCTGCTCCCCTCTGACACAGCACTGTTTACATAAGTCTTCCCACATCAGGCCAGAGCTACCTTTGATCAATCTGTGTGCGCCGCTCGCTGCTCTCCCTCCACCTGACCCCATGGACCCTTCAAACCCAGCAGAGCAGCGCCGCTCATGACTATCAGCTGCCTGTGCGCTTGTGAACAGCGACACTGACTCAGCCTGCCTGCTTAGAGGACCAGAGCCTGCCAAGAACCCAGAATAGTACTTCCTGTAAGACATTTTGTATAATTCTGTCATAACATACCCCCCCCCCACCTTTTTCTTTTGTTTCCAGGTTTCTTTATGAGCTCTCCCAGATTCCCAACTTTGCAGGCCGAGCACGCTGCATCATATTTCAGTCAGTGTTCCTCGATATCATCGCCTCCATTGGCCGCAAAGTGGACGTCATCACGCATGTCTGCAAAGTAAGAGTACCATGTCAACCAGCACTGCTTCAGAAAAGTGTTGATAAGCCAAAATAAATCTTACTAATACAAGTGTGTATCTGTGTTTCAGGAGCTGTTGGAGTGTGATAGTTTGCGGGATGTGATGGGTCTTGTTCTGGCCTTTGGGAACTACATGAACGGAGGGAACAGGACAAGAGGTCAGGCCGATGGCTTTGGACTGGAAATTCTCCCAAAACTAAAGGATGTCAAAAGCAGGGTAACACATAACTTCAAATTTTACATAAAAATAGCAAAGTAACCCATACAGTCAAATCATATTGATATATCAGTAGGGAATGTTAAGCCTGATCTTTATAGTCATTTATTTCCTCCTCAGGACACTCATATGAATCTGGTGGATTACGTTGTTCTATACTACCTGCGTAATTTTGACAAGGTAAAATACCATCAATCAGATTATCCAAATGTAGCACTCACATTACTTACTCAACACTCATATACTTCTGTGTGTTCCAGGATGCTGGCACAGATAAGAGTGTGTTTCCTCTGCCGGAGCCTCAGGAATTCTTCCAGGCTGCACAGGTGAAGTTCGAAGACCTCGCCAAGGACATCAGGAAGCTGAAGAAAGATTTGACCAGTAAGACATTATCTTTTGTAGAATACTAATTTAGATATCGGTTATTAGGGTTTTCACTGCACACTGCAGTGCATCTTCATCTCTGTTGCATTGCAAAGCAGTCACTGTTATGGTGTGCATGGCTATCTTTCACCAGGGCAGTAAAAAATAAGGCATCATTTCCCAGTTTCCAGACATTGCATCTTCACTTCCCTGTCATCTTAAACCCTAAAGCTTTCCTGTTTTAACACCAGTGACAGAACAGCGAGCAAAAGAAGCATCTAAATTGCTCTAATGGACTCTACAGCAACTAGGGTAGCCTCCAAAAAGCCAACTCCAGCTCACTGAGGAAGCATCAGGGGGATAATTGCGGAAGAAAACCTGATTTTGGTGTTATGTGCTCAAAGTGTTGTGGGCGCCGATCCACTCAGTAACCACGCCAGCCAGCCAGTCAGTCTTGGCCAGGGCCATGCAGAGGTTAAAGGCGATGCACCCTGTGCCCCCTTGTGTCTGTGGTTATTTAAATCAACCAATAATATGGCATATGAAAGCAATTAGATATGCTCTGCAAGTTTCCCCTACGTTTTTTAGATCGCTGTTAAAGCCCTCTACTCTCTGACCCGAGGGAAAAATACAAAGAGTCTACTAAAGTACCCAGACCCACCTCAAGCTGTCACTCATTTATTAGGAAAAATGGAAGACCTGAAGACAATAAATGCAACATAAGGGCCCTCGTATTTGATCTCCGTTGCAGCGCAGTCTGGCACAGAAGTCCTCGGGGGTAAAAGCATCACAGAGCCAGTGTTGGATTCTGGATGTTTGGCGAGCTCCACCTCTGACTCCCACCATTTTTATCCTCTGCAGATGCCAGGAATAAATATTTATACCTGGCTATTATAAACCTGCCTAAAGAAAGCAAGTGGTCTTAATTATAAAGCTAACACAGATCTCTTCCATCCACATTGTGAATTGTGTCACAGAGAGGCTCAGAATGACTCGCACTTTTCTCGCTCTGTTTGACTGGAACAAGAAGCCTGCTTGGCCCTCACCTGATCCTGAGGTGGCGGCTGCGTTGTCTTGCCCTCCAGGCTTAGGTCAAATGTCAGGAGGCTTTGTGCTAATAGTCAAAAACTCACCTCTCCTAGCTTAACCTTGTCCTGGGACAAAATCAGTATGTGTAAATCAACCTTTGACTTTCTCTTCATGAAAATTTTCATAAATCGTATTTAAATTGACACAGGATTGTGTTTGCACACATAATGTCATCCCTGACTCTGCTGCGAGGCTCAGGAGAGAGTCCCCGTCCTCTTGGCTGCCCTCTCCTTCACTGGCTTGTGCAGAAACATGATCCTCTTTTGATGGAGCTTCCTGTTTGGGGAGAAGGTGATGACCTCTCTCTGTGCTCCTCTCAGAGTGAGAGAGATGAGTGGAGAGGCCACGAGGAGTTAAACCCACTGTAGGGCTCATGTGAAGCACAGCATATTTTATTCTGTTAATAATCCTCGCTTTGAACTCCAGCATCCTAACCTAAAAGTATCTTAAAAAACCCTGCATAACTAGATCTTTGAGCTGCTTTTTCAAACTTAAGGTTGAGTCTCCAGATCAGACCGGTGTTAGTACCTACATTAAGATCATTTTAACTGTCCAAATATTGGACCTGACAGAGAGGCGCGGACGCTACCAAATGAAATAGGATCAAATAAAAAGAAATAGTCAGAGCTCATTTGCTGCTCAGAGGAATTTAGTGTTCCACTGAAGGCCTGGCCCAGGTTTGGCATTCATCACTGTGGCAAATCAGACAGTGTCTTGACTTTAAATGGCCTTTAATGTCACATTCAGGCAGGGCCTTTAGCCTGAGCCCTGCTTTACGACGGGGGTTACACTCGTAACGCCATGTGTGAAGTCAGAGTGCTGAAGTAGAACCAAGACGAAAGTAATCCCCCTGAATGTTTAACATGATGAAGAGTTACTTTTACAAAACAAGAGTCTTCACATATTTAGCTTCTATTCAACTACTTTAGCTGTTTCTTATTTTAGGATTAGCCCTCTCTCATGAAGCAGAACATGTGATTTTGATGCTCTGTACCCACATTTGAAGAAGGGTTAATACTCCAACTCGTATTATTGATGTTTTAACCTGAGAGCACAGTATTCTCTAGCAGATATTTAGAAGAAGGCTATAGTTTGATGGATTTGGGTTGATATATGAGGTGTGGAAATGGGAGAGAGCGTCTTTCCTTTCCATATTGAAGAAGTCTCCTGGCTGCCCTCACCAAAGGGGGGATAGAAGACTTCACTTCCCGGAGACCTGAGCTGGAAGTCTGACAGTCTGCTGGGTTTGGACCTAATTGGGGAGCAGAGAGAGAATTTACTTTTCCAGGTATAAATTATTAGAATGTGCCAGAACCATAGCACTGCACTGGTTTAACCTCTGATAAATGATGACTAAAGAAAACAGTAGTTCTTCCAGGAATGCCTGAACTACTTCTAGTTGGAATTTGTAGTTCTGCTGGCAACTGTGAAACAACAATGAAGTCACCGTCGTATCTTCATGTGGTTCTCTGTCTACTAGTTTGCTTCCTCAATCTTGCCTTTAATAATGATCCAGAGCTACAGAGACAGGAGGTGGCGAGGCGTGGAGACAGAAACATTCATCAAACAGCTACTTTCCTCATCTTGTGGTGCTGCTCAGGCTCTCCCATCTACTGCTTTAGCTTTCTTTTCTTTCTTTTTTTTTTTTTTTTTAAGCTAATCCTCAAAAGTTGCATATTGTCTTGGCGTGCTGTGATTTCCTGGTAGCTGCTGTGGGGGCTCTTGCTTACTGCGGTTAAAATCACAAGTACACACTAACATCAAAGTCTCCCATTTAGACAACCACACAGGGCAAACGCTGGAGAACAATTCTGTCTTTCTTGTTTGTTTTTCTTCTTCGTTTACTCCCCTCCGCCCGCAGCTCACTGTCATGTTACCTCATAATCCACAATAGATGGTCCACTGTGACACATTCAGATATGATGGATTGTAAAATGATTCCTCTGGAGAAATACAGTAAATGCATGTTTAGAAGTGTTGCTCCAGAACCCCAGAATATATGCTTGTATTTTGTTCTGTTTTCAGAAGCTCAAATCTTGCTCAGGAAAGCCTCAATTATCCCTGTTGGTTTGACACAGTCTTCATGAAAAAAGAAAAACATGTTCAGGTTTTTAGAGTTCCAAAGATACTAAATCAACTAGCTGTAGTTTCATCCAAAGTTACCTTGTAAAAAAAAAAAAAGGACTTAAAAGAACGGTGCTGTGGCTCCTATCATGAAGCTGTCAGTCTCTAGTGCAGCGGTTCTCAACTGGTTGGTACGGACCCGAAATTAGATCGCAAGGCCATTTTCAGGGGGTCGCAATTATGCGCTTTTGTTCTGTCAGTTTTCCTTCTGATGCTCACAAACAAAAAGTAGTCTATTGTCACATTTAACAAGTTAAGTGATACGGTAAATAATATGTATATATAAAATAGATACTTGTACTTGATTTCAGATGTAACAACCCATGAAAACTGATTCAATCAATATATTTCTATAACACTACAGCATCCTCTCTAGATCCTAGCTTGCTAGTTCATATATGTAAATCTTTGCTGTGTCATTTCACTTCTTAAATATTCAATTTTAATTTGATTGTTTTTGCTAAACTTTTAACTTTAACAACAAACACTATAAAACATTTTTTAAACATAAACTCTAGATCTGCATATTCGGTTCCTGTTGCCTAAAACATATATAAAGCATCTCTCAACATCATCTTTATAATCAGTACTGCCTCTTACTTTTTCAGTGTATTTTTCTATTGCAGATCATTTCACAAGTCATCACACCAGTTCAGCGTGTCACTATTTCTACTACCATTTACAAAACACAAACATGTAACTACTCTGCAATAATGAGTTCTGTCATTTATTTCTGCTTTTTCTACAATAGTAGCCTTTATGTTAATTCATTTTAATCTACATAAAAAAAATAAAAAAAAGGTTTTCGGGTTTTAATTTCTCATCATTTCAAAAATGTTCTGTCAAAGAGACATCACAAAAGAAAATACATGTGAGTTTTAAAGGTTTCTCTACTCACTAAAATCAATTTGACATGGAGTAATAATATCACTTGTGATATCTACAATCACAGTTTTGGCTTTCAGAGATACATCACGGGTGTATACATGCATCATTTTCACAAAATCTTTGCTAGGAATAACAGGTGATTCAATCAAAATAACATGCATCATCTAAATTAAAAAAAATACAAAAAAATATATTCTGTATCCAGAATAGGACACAATTAGTGTTTCTTTTATTAACTCTGTGTGTATGCAGCCCATCAAGGTAGAATCTTCAGCAAGGCTTTAAACACTACAATTTTAATTAAATACTTTATTTTGAAAACTCAAAATATCTGTTATTGAGAAAAGAAAATGTTCAAAAATAAAATCCATTAAAGCATTACTTCAGCTTCCTCTTTCCCTGCATTAACATACATTTTAACTTGATGTTAGACGTTGGTGATTCACTCAGAAAGTCATCCATCTAACCTGATACATGGTGTCTGTCTTTACTTGCAGGAGAATCCTCCCTTTAAAAAAAAAAAAAAACAGTATTATCACTCTAAGACAATGTCTCAAACTGGAGCTTTTGGTTTTTATTCTTTACAGCTGCTGTGTGTTGTGGGCTTCCTCCTTGTGGCCTTTGCTGTCTGGACCACATTTAGGAGAGAGCCGCCTCTAAATTGTAGACTCGCTGTTTTGAACACTGTTTTTTAATGGGTCGTTTTGAGTTGGGGGATTTCTGGCGAGGAAACGCGGTTTTGTCCAAACAGGATATTTTGGTCATCATGTTTGGTTGCTGATCTCTGTTTTTTATTTTGATAACTGCCGGCTCTCTCTACTCTCATTTTTAAAAGAGTGATGTTATCCAGACAGTGAGGCTGCACGTAGTTACACCTCAATTTGAATGCTCAGACGACGTGTTTCCTGTTGGATTTATTAACACAGCCAATAAATAAGCGATGTAATAGACTTGAGTTTACCGAGTTGCAGGTGCCGTTGCTCCGCATGCAAACATAGGAGAGTCAAACTCCGAACCAAAAGCAGCCTCGCAGTGAATGAGTCTGCGGCCAGACCTGTTAATGCTCTTGTCGTGTTGCAGAACTATTTAGCTATGCAGTCATAAGCAAGTCAAGGTATTTATTGCACCCATTAATGACTTACAGGTTGGAGCAATGTGCCAAAGTTCTTCTAGCAGGCGTCTGTGTGTATATTAACCCAGGTTACAGTTGAGAGGAAATGGGGAAGGTTCGGCTGGAACACGATCAATCACCATGGTTTCCTCTGAGCTCGTGTGAGTTGGGTCATTTAGCGCCGAGCAGAAAACAAATCCACAAACAGCAAAGACACATCTGCTGCGCTCACATGTGTATTATTAAGACTTCAGAAATAGTAACAACATGTAGGACAAAACAAATGTATTACTCATTTGTAAACTAAATGTTTTTTATCACAAATGGGATCAATACAAACAAGAAGTGTATGGGGAAAAAGATTTAATAACTCAATTCAACTATAGCTTTTTTAATCAAGTTTCAAGTTGAAAAAGTTTTCCTATTTAATCCTTGTTTGCAGTTTAGTTTTAACCAAACTGCTGTCTTTTTATTTGACAAAGGGAGTGTGTCTGAGGCCTGTTTTTTATGAGTGTAAATTAACACAGTGACGTAGAAAAAGTAGACTGTATGTTTTATATGGAAGCCTAATGCTTGCCATGCCAGAAACATTTCTTGTTATAACTTATATTCTTATAACATGAAACGTACCACTTTATAACGTAATCATTTATCTCATTATGACATAGAACTTTTCATGTTATAACATGAAACTTACATTGTTGAGATGCTGTAGCTTGTATGGAGTCATTCATGCCCGTCCAGGTGACCAATGAGAGACGAGAAGACGACCTCCAGAGCATCACGCTCATACTTCTTTCTGTACAGACTCAGAGCCATGCATTTTACAATCTTTCTGTATTTCCTCACACATCATTTTCATCAGCCAATAAAGAGATGCATGTTTAAACAATATCAGTCATTATGTTGCAACATGAAAAGTTTTATGTTATAACTATGTAAGTGATCACATTATTACGTTAAAACACCTTGTTATGAGAAAAATGTATAACCCTGTAATGTGACCCTTATCCTAATTTTTTATATTTAGGACTGACAGAAATACTCTTCTGTAGTATAATGCTAACAAAATAGTATTTGCTACAAAGTATTTATGCTTTCAGGGGAAATAAAATAAATGTTTGATATTTTAGGTATTTCTTAAAACATATCTCAGAAAAAGGAGGTAGTTATACGCACATCACATGGGTGCAGGGCGGTGCAAAAACAGCAACGGACTGTAATTTTGTGATTCCCATTGCCCCATTTTAACAAACATTTCTTCTCAGTTTTTAACTGTTACAGGCAATTAATTAGTTTTTCATTGTTTTATATTCTTATTTGACTTGAAAATGACATTCTCCTGATTTGTTTTTTAACCTAATTTCCCATTAAGAAGAGACAATCCTGCATTACGATTGATCATTCTCCTCTGTTCTCTGTTGTCTTGTACCAGCTTGTGAGAAAGACCTACAACAAGTGTGTTCAAACGCTTCAGAGGAACACTTGGAGCCATTCAAGATGAAGATGGAAAGATTTATCTCTGCTTGTGAGTTAAAATTCCACTTTTTATGTGCATAATGTTCAAAAACTGAAATGTGATTGAACATGCTGCAACATTTATGATTAAAAAATGCCTTTATTTGCCTGTTAATCCTGAAATATCTCCACGCGAGATAATTTGATTTATGGCAGTCAAGAGGAGCCATGAATTTATTTAATCTGAAACCACTGACCCACAAAATCATGGGTCCCACCAATGTTTGCCCTCCGTCCCACTCTCCAGCTGGTCTGTGCAGCATGTGAAGCACTAAAAGGACCCTCAAAAAAATTCTTGTCTTCAAAGATGAAACAGTATTTTGGACGGAGGATTTACAGCCAAAGAGATAGTCATGAAACCAGGTTTACAGAGCAAAGAAATGCCCCGTTTTCGCCCTTATGCCCAGCATGGACCTTTAAATATAAGAGGAAGGTATAATTATGTTTTTTGCCATGTCATACAGTCAGCTGGGTGGTGCAGAATCTGCCTCTCAGTGTGTGTGTGCATGTTTTTGTTCTTGCTGGGAGAGGGCGTCTTGATACACCATAAGACAGCATGAGGACAGGAGTCTACAGGCCTGTAGAAAGGATCGCATTGCCTCTTACATGGTATCCATGTACTCTCACCTTCCATAAAGCTGGCGGGACATCTCTGGCTGCGGCCTTGTAAAGACTGGCCGGCCTCAGTGGATCAGGCCTGGGGACCACCGGGACTGGAGCAGAGTTTCTCTGACACACACTGATCATTTTCATCCCATCCTTTTCTCCGATCATTATAGACTTTATGCACCAGCTCCTTCCATATCTCGCTTCCTTCAAACCATCGATGCCTTTTTCTGCTGGGACTTCGATGAGGTTGCTTTGTTTGTACACATACACATGAAAGTTTTATCAACATTAAACCGAAGCCTTATCATACACAATGCTGTCGTTTCAATAGTGCAAGGACGAACCTTGAATGTGACACAGAAACCTGTCATCTGACTAGTTTAGAAAGTCCTGAAGGTTTTCACTGATTATTACCGAGCATTAGACCTCTTGTATTTTGTAAAGAAGCTGTTGGAAGGATTTGTTTGCCTGATATGATGAGAACAAAGGCATTTACCTGTCATGTGTCACCATCCTTTCACCTTTAAATTAAGTTGCAATTTTATACAATTACTTTTTTATTGCAGCTCGTTTTCTTTTGCTCTAAAAGAGGCCTCAATGAAAGTAGAGCACACACTGTTTTGTGCAAAGGTTAAGTTTGACACAAATCAAAAGCAGGCCTTCTTTCTAGAAACAAAGTCCACGCTACTTGAAAAAATCTACTGACTCTAAAAACTGATCAAAGTAAGTAGACTGACCAAATCTGTCTACTTACTTTAGTGTAAATTAGTTTGTGGTTAGTTTACTCATGAAACAGTTAAAACCAGGGATGATGGCATGAATATGGAGAGAGAGAGAGACAGAGAAGATATAACCTAAAACATAAAACAAGGAATTCACTGCCAGTTGTAATCAAAGCCGTGAGCACCACAGATTCTGTCCTCAAACCACAACACTGAAGAACAGCTCCGACCAAAGATTTGTCTCAAATTCAGGGGATACATTTGCATAAACTCTCTTTTCTTTTTTGTAGAACCAAGCATTTATGTCTTTAATATATCCAACCCTCTTTAAATTCAACACTAGTGATGCAGCGGTAACATGTTACGTACTGACAATATCCTCATTCATGTTTGAAGATGCTACAAAAATATGTAGCTACACAAATAAAGCATGAAAAAAGGGCAGTAAACTAATGAAACATGGTGTAGTCATATTGTTGTAATCTCAGGTTTATGTACTTTGTTGACTGGCACATTGCAAGAAGGTGCAAGTTTTAAAATTGTGGAAACTTTTAAACTTAACTGGAGACTAGGGCCCGACCGATGTGGGATTATTGGGGGCCGATATCGATATTAGGAAGCGAGAAAAAATCTGATAACGATCAATCTGCCAGTATCTTCTTTTGACTGATAGTTCAATAAAATGAAACTCAAATGGAATGCTTTTTGACTGGTGAATGAAGTAATATTGAAGCACATCTGCGATTAAAATTAGCCAATACCGATATTCACTTAATAAGCTAATATTGGCCGATATTATCGGCTTGCTGATTAATCGTATGGCTCATATAACTGAAACTATCTGCATGGCTTAATTCAACAAAGGCAAGTGACAAGTGTTGTGACACGACTTGTACCAAGTGTTAATCAGCATCAAGTCACATGTTTTTCCAAATCCAACATGTCCCTATCACACAACAACTAGACGTCATTAAAGTACTTCAGCCTGCATTTCTTGCAGAGAGCTTAAACAACAGACTCGCTCCATCATAAAAGAGTCACGTGAGGTATCTCACATGGAAATCGTAGCCATATGTTTGCGGTTCAGAGTGAACATTTGTGGGGATTCCATGTTTGCAGAACAATTCCTGAAAAGATGTTTATTATTGCATACCCAGTCTGTGTTGGTATTCTTAAACTGGAAACATTGCACAGTGTTTTTTTTGTTATTTTATCTAACTTATCTACCTCTGTGATGCTGAGCAAAGCCGAAGAAAGGCTTCTGCACTCAGAGTATTTGAAAGCAAAAAAGTCGCTGTAGCTGCCACTGGCTTCAAAATGGACTTGGGTTTCCGACGGCACATCTTGAACATAAATGTTCCAATGGAATACTTGTAAACCTTTCTTTAATAAACAGAATTCCTTGAGCTGTTGCCTGTGCGTCAGGGAGGAGCGGTGTGTAATCATCATTCGTGATGATTCCATGACTTCAGACGGCAAAACAAAGCAACAGATCTCTCTTCGCAGACAGCTGAGGCTTTTAAACTCTGACTCATCAGCAAATGCGTGAATTTCTCACCCAGGTAAATGTTCCGGAGGCTGACCACAGACTCATGTGTTCAACACATGATATTAGATATCCAAATTTAAGGGTTATTGAGAAATGCATCATCACATCCTCTTGCAAGAGGATCAAAGTATATCAGTGGTGTACACATTGTTCTGGGACTTTCTGTTTCTAAGTAGCACCGACCCGTAAGCAGGCCTACAGGGAGGCTCACAGCAGGGCCTGCAGGTGAACCCAAACGCCCCGCACTCTGCCTCTTAAACTTGCCTGTGTGATCTCTCCCTCGCTCTAACAGGGGATGCCTCCAAAAACCAAGATATCAGTTTTCTTGTAAGGCTGTTTCTGCGTTTATTACTGCTCCACAGTTTTTTTTTAAGCTGTTCATATTAAACATGCAGAAGTGATGTTTTACATAGCATTATCTGATCAAGCTCACTGAGTTTACTGCATATACATTTGTATATTTCTCTCTACATAAAGACCCTAGTATCTTAGGTGAAGCTAGAAAACAAAAACATCCCTTTGTCTCTGACTGTGTTGAGGACATTGAATCGACTTCCTTTTAGTTTCTCTTTTTAA